CTCTCTCACACACACACACACGCTCTCACACACTCACACTCACACACGCTCACACGCACGCTCTCTCACACTCTCTCACGCTCTCTCACACTCACTCACGCACGCTCTCACGCACGCACGCTCTCACGCACACACACTCTCACACACACACTCTCTCACACACACACACACTCTCTCTCACACACTCGCTCTCACACACTCGCTCTCACACACTCGCTCACTCACGCTAATGCCAGCCACAGTAAACGAAACACAAGAACCTCACCAATACAGAGCCGCTATTTCTGTCAATTTGCAGAAGGACTGATAACACAATATAATTAGATGATATATTGATATCATCTCCACACAGAGCCTTCATCTTCTCCAGTATCACTTCAAATACTTCAAAGAAGGAGAGTGTTGCGTGAAGCACCTGTTTTGCGCAGTGGAAAGTCATCTTTGGAGTCGTAGACGCCCATGGCAGGAGGGTTGTAGGTACTGACGGCGGTCTGAGGAGGGGAGCTCTGATCCAAAGAACTGTGCTGAGTTTTCCTGCACAGAAAAAGCAGACAGTGAGAAAGAGGAAAAGCGATGGGAAAACAAACATAATGAACAGATACTGATACAGTCTCTCCAGCTTTATCATCAGAATAAAGCTCAGCCACGTGAATCGCTGTAGTTATGCACTGCTGTGAGTTAGGGTTATGCAACATCGGCTGCAGGTTCAAATCCCATTTTCCCTGCACTTTCCCCATCTTTATGAACTGCCTGACACATTAAAGCCAGAAAGCCTATGTGTTAGTGTATTTTGACACCACAAATGTTGCTGGATCCCTCTTCAATGTCTTCCAAACTGTAATTGTTTAGAAATGATGGATTGATCTGATCTAGTCGTCAAGCAGATACACAGGTCTGCTGAACTGTTTGTCACTCGGATCAATGTTTTCATCCATTTGCGCTTGAATAACTAACACTAAATGTTCTTCGATCAGAAGCAGAGCAGCGTGTGACGTTTCTTACCCGTACCAGTAGCGTGGGTTGTTGGAGATGCAGTGGTTGAGACTGCGCTGAGCGAGCGCTTTCTTTTTATTCAGAACAAACTCCTGCAGACGCATCTTCACCTCTGTACTGGCCACCGCACCTGTTCACAGCAGAGCGCAGGATTTACCAAAGCTCGCCGTCAAACGAAACTGCTGAGCACAGCTTTCTTAATATTTCAGTGTAACTGACGTTTATTACTACTGGCATCAAAAGGATTTTCTTACTTAGAAGTAACACGGTGAGAAACTATAATGAACTCACTCTCCTGGCCGCGTTCTTTGTTCTTGAGGAGCTGGAGCTTCTGCTCGCGCTGCTGTTTCTCCAGCTCCTGCTCCATCTTCCTCTGATGCTCCAGCAGCTCCTGCTGATGCTTGAGGGCCAGAAGCTCCTGCTGATGTTGGTGAGAGAAACAAGCACACAGGTTAACAGCTGGTTGATATGGCTAGCGGTTAAGCTGAGGGACAATATTTGTCAGGTGTCAGATTCAAACCCAGCGAGCTGCCACTCATGATGCATTACCATTGAGCAGATCAGCTCAGGTTACTCCAGACTGAACCTGCGATCTGCGACATAACTCTAACCCTTAACCATCATCTGATCACGAGATGGTGGCGATCGACTGCTACTTCCATATTATACACAATACAATTATTTAGAAGTTTATTGCATTGCTTCCTCATTTTCTTCTGCAGAGTTTTGCGGTCTGTGTCTGGATGCCCCACAATCGGCTAATCCTAACCCTAACCAGCAGAACCCACAGCCGGCTCAGTACACTAATAAACACTAGTGTGTGTACAAAGGACCGAGAACATGACTGCGGGCCGCCCAACCGCTTCCCAGCTCACCAAGTCAACAAAATGGAGCATCCACCGCGTTCAGCACAACATTTGATTCATTTAACTGGACATCGGCCATGTTTTCTCTTCTTTAAGGGCATTTTGTGCTCAGCGGCAGTGAACTCCTGCAGAATGACTGAAAGCGGCAGTAACGTTTACAGTAAAGCCCTTCACAACCTCCGTCACCTGTGCAGCAAACCTGTAGAAATGAGCAGATATATCACACTAGATATTTAAAAAATGAAGAGACCTCAGGATGTGATTGACACACACCCAGCATCACATGAAGAGCTCTAAACACACGCCACATGCATGCATTATGTAGTCAGTGTGCTGAAGGGTGTGTGAGCATTTAAGCCCGGTTCAGATTTTTTTGACAGTTACGTTTTGTCGTACTCCTTGATGACGAAAAAAACATTAAACATGCTAGACTTTCTGTGTTGACGTCGTGAAGCATCGCAGACTTGGCATCGGCTGTCGTCCACTATGACACACTACACGAGATGAAACGATTGAATCGTGAACAATTGTCGTATACGAATCCCCACGACACCCTACGTCCAGCAGATCGTGCCAAAATCAGGGTAAAATAGTGTAGTCTGAACCGGACTTTCGTAAGTGTAGCAGTCGATTCATAGAAGCTGTGACACCTGAGAAACGTTAACCACATCCCACCAGCGCTGGGTCCTGACCTTCATGTGCTCCTGTAACTGGGCCTCGTGTTGGCGCGAGAGCTGCTCGTGTTTCCGCTGGAACTCGGCGATGAGGATCTGCCGCTGCAGCTGCTGCTTGTGTTTGAGCGCCAGCATCTCCTGCTGCTCGCGCCGGCTTGAGTCCAGTGTCTGCATCTGCTCTACGCGCAGGTCCATGGGGATGGCGGCTGGAGGAACCCTCACAGGCAGAGCAGAACTCAGCTCCACTGCAGAAACAAGACAAAAACACACTGACGAGACGAGCGCAGAGACACGGACTCTAACAGGCCCAAAGCAGGACAGATACAAGACTGACATCAGATCAGACTCGGCCACAGAAAACACAACATCAGTTCAGAGCCGTGCAGCAGTAAACAACCCACTACTGCTGCTGACAGGCATCACGTAAGCAAACACACACACACACACACACACACACACACACACACACACACACACACAAGTCCAACAAGAGGGATGTGTTTTTGTGTCCATCTCGGGGACGTCTCGGTCATGACGACTTTACGTTCAGTGCTGCTGAATTACAGAAAACTACTGATGAACAAGCAGCAGCACCATCACAAAAAGTAAACAAACACTAAAAACAGAAAAAAACAACACATTCATGATATAAAGACATCGGCACAGGTCAGATGCAGAATGAAGTTGAGCTCACCACACGCCTCTGCAGCACGAGCACGTCTGTCTGTCTGTCTTCTGTTTGTGTGTTTCTATCTGTTATCTGTGTTTCTGTGTATGTGTTTGTGGCGCAGGTCCTGTCTGCCTCCGCTGCAGTCGCTCTCTAACTAACGCTGCTCTGTCAGCGCTCAGACTCTCTCTGACTCTCATGACGTCACAGAGACAATGCTGACACGCTTTACTCTCATCTGGCATCCTCATCTACTGTTGACACACGCGCATGTGCATACACAAGCATACAGACACACACACACACAAGCATACAGACAAACACACACACACACACACACAAGCATACAGACACACA